ACAAACCCGTTGTTTTTTGCACCAACGTAGCCTCAGCTTCTGCATCTTCTTCCCAAGTGCCCTTTAGATCTTGTTCATTACTCATTTTTACACATTCTAAGCAATATTCTAATATTCTGGTAGTAACAATAAATTCAATAATGTAGAATATATATGTAACTAAACCTGATAATCTGAGATCTGCGGAATAAGGAAACTACCGGTCCCTCAGCAAACCGTATACTGCTGTACTGTACGTATTCGTAATTTTTTAAATGATTATGTCATAATGCATCTATCTGCACCCCCACTAGTATCTGAATTAAATGTATAATTAAAATCATTTTTAACCATTTGTTTTCAAAATGAATTCTACGTAGTGCGTAGCAGTTTTTAAAAGTAATGCTTATTACTAGGAGTGTAGCGGAAGACAGGACGATGATTTTCTGCGATGGATCCTGCAAAATTCTGAAATTTGATCAAAATTATATGGCATTACGATCCAAAAATTCTAACAAAAAATTTAAAAATTAATGTTGGCCAGCAAAACGGGGGAAGTATTTTCACATGGTACTCGGTTTGTGGCGCAGATTTCCCGAACTAAACCCCACCAGTAGTCTAGAGCAGTGTTGGGAAATTGGACAAAAACTGCGCCACATTTAGTTTTGGACATATGTCCAACACTGGTCTAGAGTCTCGCCATCAAAATTCTACGGACACGTGATCGTGCCAAAAAATCGTTAAGTTCGTTTAAGATAGAGTTAGAGTCTATGCTAAGGTTATAATTTTAGTGTTCTAATAGTAAAATCGGTTAAGGAAAATCTTTTGTTAATGCACGAAAGGTTAGACTAATAAAATCAAACCATAAGTACATAGCGACAAATATTACTCCAGCAAGCACTAAAGCAAATACTACTCCGGCAAACACCACACCAGCAAACACTACTCCGGCGAAAACTACTCCAGCAAAAAATGCAGATAAAAAGCCCAACGTTACGGATCAGGGTGAAGATGGTATAGGCGATGAAATTGTTGACAACCAAATTATTCAAGACTTATACGGCAAAGAGCATATCAACCTTGTATTCATTGGTCATGTAGGTTAGTATTTATGCAACTATTTTTAGGGACTTATTTTAATTTACATGACATCAATAGATGCAATAATTAGAAACGGACGGCTGTTGCTATATTAAGGCACGGTATTCTCAAATCTGAAAGAAGTGAAATAAGAATATATAATCTCTGTGTTAATTTTGAATTTTAACTTACTGTTTATGACTGTTATTTTTTTTTGTAATTAGATGCCGGAAAGTCTACTATGGGTGGAAATATTTTGTGAGTAATTTAATAAAATTGTTTCTATAAAAATTTTTTCATTTAAATTTATCATTTATTCATTTTTTTTTTTTAGATATTTGACAGGAATGGTTGATCAAAGAACCATGGAAAAATATGAAAAAGAGGCAAAGGAACAAAATCGAGAGTCTTGGTATTTATCATGGGCTCTTGATACTTCAAAGGAAGAGAGAGCAAAGGTGAGTTGTGAATTCTCAAAATTAGCATAAAGTCTAATGATCGATATATTCATTTATCGATATCATATATAGGGAAAAACCGTCGAATGTGGTCGTGCATATTTTGAAACAGAGAAGAGGCGTTATACAATTCTAGATGCCCCTGGACACAAAAACTATGTACCTAGTATGATTGGTGGCGCATCCCAAGCGGATGTTGGAATTATGGCATGTGATTTCAATGTGCTTCAATGAAAATTTGGCTTGAAGACATATTTTAAATTAAATAATTAAAATTTATTTTTTCATATATATCTTTAGGTCATATCTGCAAGAAAAGGTGAATTTGAAACTGGATTTGAAAGAGGTGGTCAGACACGTGAACACACTGTTCTTGCAAAAACTTCCGGAGTCAACAAGCTAGTGATAGTCATCAACAAAATGGATGATTCTACTGTCAATTGGTCTAAGGAGAGGTAGTTTGGTGATAATAAGATACAATAGTCAACAAGTTATATATAATATATCTAATTTTTTAATACATCAAACATAGATATGATGAATGCGTTACTAAGCTTACGCCATTTTTAAAGTCAAGTGGATATAATCCTACGACAGGTATATAATGTATTAAAAGATTTTGCGTCTGGAACATAATAACTGACCTATTTTGTTTTTAATGTTCAACGCAGATATTGAATTCATGCCAGTGTCTGCATTCACGGGAGCGAATCTTAAGGAACGTGTATCTAATGAAGTGTGCAAGTGGTATAGGTAAGTGCATTATTAGGAGTGTAGCGGAAGACAGGACGATGATTTTCTGCGATGGATCCTGCAAAAAAATGCAGATAAAAAGCCCAACGTTACGGATCAGGGTGAAGATGGTATAGGCGATGAAATTGTTGACAACCAAATTATTCAAGACTTATACGGCAAAGAGCATATCAACCTTGTATTCATTGGTCATGTAGGTTAGTATTTATGCAACTATTTTTAGGGACTTATTTTAATTTACATGACATCAATAGATGCAATAATTAGAAACGGACGGCTGTTGCTATATTAAGGCACGGTATTCTCAAATCTGAAAGAAGTGAAATAAGAATATATAATCTCTGTGTTAATTTTGAATTTTAACTTACTGTTTATGACTGTTATTTTTTTTTGTAATTAGATGCCGGAAAGTCTACTATGGGTGGAAATATTTTGTGAGTAATTTAATAAAATTGTTTCTATAAAAATTTTTTCATTTAAATTTATCATTTATTCATTTTTTTTTTTTAGATATTTGACAGGAATGGTTGATCAAAGAACCATGGAAAAATATGAAAAAGAGGCAAAGGAACAAAATCGAGAGTCTTGGTATTTATCATGGGCTCTTGATACTTCAAAGGAAGAGAGAGCAAAGGTGAGTTGTGAATTCTCAAAATTAGCATAAAGTCTAATGATCGATATATTCATTTATCGATATCATATATAGGGAAAAACCGTCGAATGTGGTCGTGCATATTTTGAAACAGAGAAGAGGCGTTATACAATTCTAGATGCCCCTGGACACAAAAACTATGTACCTAGTATGATTGGTGGCGCATCCCAAGCGGATGTTGGAATTATGGCATGTGATTTCAATGTGCTTCAATGAAAATTTGGCTTGAAGACATATTTTAAATTAAATAATTAAAATTTATTTTTTCATATATATCTTTAGGTCATATCTGCAAGAAAAGGTGAATTTGAAACTGGATTTGAAAGAGGTGGTCAGACACGTGAACACACTGTTCTTGCAAAAACTTCCGGAGTCAACAAGCTAGTGATAGTCATCAACAAAATGGATGATTCTACTGTCAATTGGTCTAAGGAGAGGTAGTTTGGTGATAATAAGATACAATAGTCAACAAGTTATATATAATATATCTAATTTTTTAATACATCAAACATAGATATGATGAATGCGTTACTAAGCTTACGCCATTTTTAAAGTCAAGTGGATATAATCCTACGACAGGTATATAATGTATTAAAAGATTTTGCGTCTGGAACATAATAACTGACCTATTTTGTTTTTAATGTTCAACGCAGATATTGAATTCATGCCAGTGTCTGCATTCACGGGAGCGAATCTTAAGGAACGTGTATCTAATGAAGTGTGCAAGTGGTATAGGTAAGTGCATTATTAGGGTTGAGGTTCTTAACAATAAATGTTATTTGACATCGTTTCGTTACTTATTTAGTGGGCCATCATTGCTAGAGTATCTGGATAATATGAAAGCTTTGGATAGAAACTTAAATGCCCCATTAATGATGCCAATTACCGAGAAATATAAAGTAAATTTTATGAAAAATTAATTGTTGGACTTCAGCTTTTGAATGTGATATTAATAGAGTTTGTAATTATAAAGGATATGGGCACAATTCTCGTTGGTAAGGTGGAATCAGGCACCGTTAAGAAAGGCCAATCTGTATTAGTCATGCCAAATAAGGTACACGCTTGCCTATATTATTGGATAATGATTTGTTGATTTAATAATTACGGTCTCATACAATTGATTTCACCAGCGAACTGTTGAAGTGTCCGCTGTTTATAATGAAGTCGAGGATGAAGTGATTATTGGTGCTTGTGGAGACAATATCCGACTTCGTGTTCGTGGTATTGAAGAGGAAGAAATTTCAACGGGATTTGTAGTTTGTTCGATTAAACGACCGGTAAAGACTACAACCATGTTTGAAGCACAACTTGCTATCCTGGAACATAAAAATATTATTTGTGCCGGATACAGTGCAGTTCTTCATATTCATTCTTGTGTAGAGGAGATATCAATCGCGGTGAGATTAAAATAAATTACGCCTTTAGATTTGTTTTGCTGTTGTAAAAGTTCTTTTATCATTTATATTGAGGGGCATTTTATTCTTGCAGGCACTTTTACATCTTATTGACAAGAAGACTGGAAGAAAGTCAAAGAGGCCTCCGCAATATGTTAAAAAAGGTCAAAAAGTTATTGCAAGGCTCGAAACTCAGGGTCCAATTTGCGTTGAAATATTTGAAGAATATCCACAATTAGGAAGATTTACACTCCGAGACGAAGGTTCGTTTCCATGCTTTATTGTTATTTGTTTCTGCATTATAATTTTTTTAATATCAATCAATTCATACTTTTTTCGTTTTTTTTAATTAGGAAAAACAATTGCCATCGGTAAAGTTACCAAAGTCATTGAACACGAATAATGTTAAAATTCAATTTGATCATGTATAAACATACGCTTTACAAATAAAATGTCTCGTTATTATTACAATTAATAATTATTTGTAAATAAAATTATTTATTCAACGCAATTTATTGCTACTAATCTTTATTTGTGCAAGATAAACATCATTAAGCAAAATATTAGGGCAAAAATGATTAAGAAATGTATATATAAACATAAATTTTACATGAAGTTATGTAATAGCTTGTTATGATCTTTATTTTATTTTCGAACTCCAATCTGAGAACTAGAACTTGCGATCTTCTGCATCGCTACCATTATCTACTCTTTGATCTTTACAATGTTCATTCCAATCCCAATATTCACTTCCAACCAACCCTTATACTGATTTCTCCCCAACTACCAAACCAGTTAGCCCAGAAGAGTTGTTGTATCTAGGCTCTAAGTACCTTTTGGTTTTACTTTTCTTGGTTCTGAATTTTATAGCATCAGACTTTTCCTCCGGTATGACTTCAGTGGCTGGTTGGTAAACCTTTTCTTGCTCCAGGGTTGTTCGTCTGGTTTTTCGATCTCTGGTTTCAGTTTTTTGTAATATCATCAAAGATCTTTACTACTTCTAGCTCAGGTCTTGCCAAATGGGTTTCAAATATTCCAGTTTCTTGGATTTGGATCATTCTAAAGCTTCTATTTCGAGATGATGATATCAAGATTACAGGTGATATACCCAACTGATTTTTAAATAAATATTACTATAACACAGACTTATTTTTGAAAAACGTTTCTGGTGAGAATTGAACTCTAGACCTGCCACTTGGAGGTGACAACTAAACTACTACTTTACGTTGCCATACCTTTTATACTCTAGTTCTTCTCTATTGTATAAAGTAAGTAGCACAGAGGTCATTGGCATGCCAGGGTAGCATGCCTATAGTGGTATGCTATAGGCATGCTCAATGCTCAGATTGCCTATAGGTATACCATTTATATATATTTTGAAAAGTTTTGAATAGAAAATAAAATAATGTAAATTCTGAAAAGAAAATTAGAGCAATGCTCTAAAGTATTCTGAAAGGTTATTTTATAGTAGATAATAACTAACCAATCCCAATTGAGTATATTATTATGTGGTTTAATGGCATGCTAGGGTGGCATCCTGGCACGAACTTTAGCGATTGGCATGCTATATAACACACAATATTTTTTAGCCATGTTATTCACCCTACTATTGTATCACTATAATTTATTATAAAGCTTTTCTATTTATATCTTTGCTTCTTCTTCTGTAATAAGTTTCTTTCTAGCATATTCTGTTATTATTTGTTCTATTTGCGTATCTATCTCTTTATCGATTATTGTTGCTGTTATATTCTGGATAGTTTCTAATACTACTTTTGTATTTTCAAGTGTATTAAGTTTTTTTTATAACATTCTACTAATATTTACTTCACATGTCTTGTTGTTTCCTCCACATGATTTTTAGTTTTCTTTTTGCTATAGGTTTCTATAATTGTTTCATATCTTGGTCATCTCTTAAGTTCACTTCGATTATTATATTAAATTTATCTATAATACTAAATATTTCTTCTTTTATAATAAACTCATCTGGAGATATCTTTTTGTTTACTGCTATTCAAAATTTCTTTTCATTTCTTTTTCTAAATTCTTGTTTTATATCCCTTAAACTGTTAAGCAGCCAAATTTGGCTATTTAAATTTTTTTACTCTATTTTTTTCTGTTTGCTCTAAATTTTGTTAAGCTTTACCCCTATTTTATAAGCTAAAATAAAAGCATACCATATGTTGGTTGCTATGTAATTCTTATTTTACGAAATTTTTTAAATAATAATTCAAAAATTAGTTATTTATCATAGATTGTAATAGGATTTTGATATTCAAATTTATATTAAAAAATAAATTTGCATATGATACTTATAAAGATTTTTTATATTTGTTATACAGAAATCTTTTTTATAATACAATATTAAAGTTGATCAAAGATTTTTCATGGTCAACATTATACAATTGGTTTTTGAGCTAATGCTACAAAGATATGGTAGCTCAAAGTTCAGATTACAAAGCATACTTCACAGCTATCAAATAAAATTTTGCTTTTTGTTTAGGCTATATGAAGTGTTTTGTGCTGCAACTATAGAGTGTGTTGCGTGACTTGAGTCTCTAAAAGCACTATAACCAATTAGAATAGAAATTTTACTAAAAAAATTTTTTTAGAATTTTTCTTCTAAAAATTTAAGCATACAAATTTAAATGGTTATTTTTATAGTTTAAGGGATAGTTAATATAATCTAGTTTATACTATTCTATTTTTTCTTAAAGAGCTTCTAATTTTATCTTTGCTTCTTTTATTGTAATAGGTTTTTTTCTAGAAAATTTTGTTAACTTTTGCTTCATATAAGGAGCAGTCAACAAAAATATAGCTTATAGCATTTTTTGCAAAAATAAATTAACTATACTATTGCATAAAGCAGGTATTCTTTTATATAATTTAATATTTAAAGTTAGGGTGCGGGATGGGTCGGGTCAGGTCAGGTTTATTTAAACCCGACCCAGACCTGATTAAAACTTAACCCAGACCCAACCTGTTATAAAAATTTTTTATCGGGCGCGGGTCAGGTTCAGGTCGGGTTTAAATGAACCTGACCTGACCTGATCCAACCTGATTATTTTTATGTATACCAGGAAAGAAGTGATATACATCATGAAGTATATGGGTTATAGGCATTTTTAATGATATAGAACCCACGACCCATTTAACAAAGTTTTTTGCACAACTATAGAGTCTAAAGCCAAGGTCCTTTCACACTTATTGTATCCGCAAAGCTGGTAAGGCTCTTACAATTTTACTGCATCCGCAAAGCCTAACTAGTAAGGCTCTTGCACTTCTACTGTATCTGCAGAGCTGAGTCTAACTGATAAGGTCTTTGTATTTTGCTGTATTTGCAAAGCCTAACTGGTGAGTAAAGACTGGACTCGAGTCAACTCATAGCTTAAATAATATAGTCTCAAGTTAATTTGAGTTAAAACTATGTTTTTTAAGCCACAAGTTGACTTGAGTCCAGTCTTTACTGGTAAGGCCTTTCGCTGCTACTGCAGCCTCGAAGCTAATTGCTACATAAACAAGGTATTTGTAGTTGCGAATTCTAATTTTACTTATCAATGATTCCATCTAATAAATCAGCTGCATAGTATTAAGTTGATTGCTAAGTCACTGCAAAATGGGCAGGATGAACGGGTGATAGAGCTTGCAAAGCAAACGATAGCAAAGAAAAAGATGACCTCCCTCTGCACCCTTGAATATATTGTATAGTATTTACAAGCATACCCTTTTCTTCACCTTATTGATTTCATATTGAACTGATATGATAATACTCTCTTACTACATATCAGTTACTATAATACTAATAAAAAACCTGTATCTTGCAATGCAGTAGTTATTATAAAAACATTCTATAAAAGGTTAAAGCGATCATGCATGAGAAAATTGATCTTCAAAAATTAGTATTATGAGAAAAATGTAATCTGCACAAATGCATAATCCAATCAGCTTTAAGATTTTCTTTTGGTTTATTTGCCATTAAACCATACACTTCGTTTACACTATATTTATGTTATGTGCTTTTTTTATTATTGCTCTTTGGAATTGAACTACCAAATATGAATTGTTACAAACTGTTTTCCAGAAGTTAATGGCTTATTCGAAGCCAGGTAAGAATTTTTTTAAAAATTATATCGGGTTTGATCGGGTTTTATGGGTCAATAAACAGAACCCGAACCTGACTCGATATTCTAATAGGCCTGACCTGAACCTGATCTGATTTATTAATGGGTCTATAATTTGAACCTGACCCAGACCTGATTACGATCTGACCCGTAAAATTTTGGGTCAAACCTGACCCGTCTCGTACTCTATTTAAAGTATTGATTAGTATAATAAAATTTTTGTCGATGCTTACTTTTTTTAAATACTATATATAATTAAATGTAATCTAAAATTAGATTTTATAAATCCGGTTGTCGATCCTTGCTGCAGAGTCATAGAAATTCATTCATGTGATTGGTTAATTTATGTTGATTTAACAGATTTATACTAATAATAGATTATTATTATTATTGCTACACCAAATTTTAAACATGATTTTCTCAAAATTGAAAAAAAGTTGTAAGCTGTGTTTTTGTTGACCGCATCTCATATGATTTGTTTTCTATTATTATTATTTGTTATATTTTTTTTTTTTTTTTTTTTAAAGAGAGGTCTATCCTCTATCTCTTTTATTAATAGTTGATTATACATATATTAGAT